GAGAGAGAGAGAGAGAGAGAGAGAGAGAGAGAGAGAGAGAGAGAGAGAGAGAGAGAGAGAGAGAGAGAGAGAGAGAATTTTAGATGTGAAGGTAAGGCGCGAGAGAGGCGATGAGAGGGAGGATGGACATGGGTTGCGTGGGACCGGCATGCTACCGTAGGTTACCAAGGCGCGCTTCTTACTGTGCGACAGGTTACACGGTCGCCCGTTGGGCACCCTCCTCGTTGCACGCGCTTTCGCCCGCCTGATTGTTTCCTGGCTTTCGCAGGAATAGCTCCCGACCGATCGGACACACACATGGGTCGGAGGAGGGGTGAATTTGGCCTGCGTAGGGTCTTATGCCGCTTTCTTTGTGGGGGAGTCATCTTCTTACCATCTGTCGGGGCAAAAAAGAGAAACTGATCCCACGAGGCCGACTTCTTTGGTGGTTTTCCTGGACCCGCGGCGGCTCTTTATGGGCTTTGTTCCAGGGTTTTATGGGCTCTGTGAATGGGAATGGCACACAAGACTGTGGTCCACGGACATTCCTGATGCTGAAAATGGACAAACGAGAAAAAACATAATAAAAAAATATTACTCCCTCTTTTTCGCTGGCGTGAAGCCCTTACCGTCTACAGAAAAGTTGGGCAGATGTGCTGCCACAACACACCCAAAGGAAAGTGAGGCAAAATATTTAAAATATTTTGGTGGCCACGACGACGTCGGAAAGTGGTGGGATCTCAAAACTACACTATTTAAAAAAAAAAAAAAAACTACACTGTAACTGGGCTGTAGTGTAGTGGTGGGATCAGACCCTAAGTACCATAGCCAGGGGGCGGCAGTGCCACTTGCGAATCTGGATGGGTATTAAACCACAAGTACACACTCACCTAGAATCCCGAAGCTACCTGCCCACTGCGCGCCCCTATTTCCCGAGTGAGGGCACCTGCAGTGGGAATTTTGGAATTGCCACGGGAAAAAAAAGAAAAAGAAAAGAAAAAGAAAGAAACAAACATGCCAGGGGCGAGGTCCCACTAGCAACGGGATAGGATAGAAACGAGTTTGTGGGGCAGTTGAGTGACCCAAATCCTGCCGTGCACTACTCGTGATCCCACCGTCAGTATTTTACATCTATTACCCGAAAAAATAAGGAGATCTTCGTTCCCCTGCTCCTCTCCTTAACACTGGGCATGCCCGTGCAAAGACAGCTTCCTGCCAGAATCTTTTCAATCGGTTGGGGCTGTGGCCAACCCCAAACGCGGTTGGGGTCGGCCTTAGCCCACTGGATAGAAGATTTTCAGCATTTTACTTGCTGTTGTGCAATTATCTCATTGGGTGGAGCCCTCCTTCAATCACGGAGTATATGGAGGGTGTCAGGATCACTGCTGTCAGAAGTCGAGTTATTCCAGAAAATGTGGCGGTTACTTTGTTCACTGTTTTTGCAACCACCACCATCAGATCATTTGTGATCTGATGGCTGGGAAGCACACTGCTGTGATTTCCGGTGGGAGGTCTCTGTTTCTTCTTTTTTTTTTGGCCTTTTTCCTGTTTTCTCAGCCCAGAAATTCGTAATGAACTTGTCACACTGGATCGGGCACACTCCTATCGGACTGCTAATGGGACCTCGCCCCAGAGATCAATGATGTCGTGGAAGGACTTCATGGAGGCCATACTCAAAAGATCACTTTCCGTGGGAATTTCGGAATTGCCACGGGAAAAGAAAAGAAAAAGAAAAGAAAAAGA